CACAAGGTCAGGAGTGATCACAGCTGGGCTCTCGCACACCACTAAATGGTAATGTGCTGGGTAAGTTTAACAGCGTCATACGGACGACTCCGAATACCGAGAAGTCACCTCCTCCGCCAATGGCCACGCATCAACGAAACAAAGACGTTCTCCTGCAGCCAAACCATGTCGAACCAATGCGGGTTTCGAACATTTTGCTTTCGCGAGAGTTGAACCCTTGCCACGCTTCCCGGAGTCAGCCCCCTGCAAGTCTACATGTCCGAGAAAATGTTGCTACTACGAATATGGATATGCTCAACATACTCTTCCGTCGTCTAAGTGTTCGGTTTCCAGGCAAAGGCATTCGCAGGGGCGGATGTCCCGGCGAACCTCTGCTTTGCAGGCGCAGGGCCGTGTAGGGTGGGGGGTGTCTCACACTGCGGAGCTGGAGGCAGATGGCGAATGTACTTTCCCGAAATACCTGACTGTCTGCATCACACTGAAAAAAAAACTCACAATTGAAGGCCTGCTGGGCTACCTGGGCATAGTTTGAGACCGCTGCAGCAGCCGTCTGAGACAGCTGGTTCGCCTCAAACATCTGCAAAGTTTCCGATCGTAAACTGAAAAAGCGCGCGCCATGTGCCAAGGCCTCGTTAAAGGCCCGGCGGATGTTGTCGGACAAGTCTCTGTCCTCCCAGAACAACTTATGCTGATGACCCTGTCAACCAGGTTGACAGTTGATGAAAAATCACTGTGCACGAGTGGTGGAGCATTTTCAAATTCGCAGTTGGTAGCCCAAGAAGGCCAGGTTGACATCGACACAAGCATCATCTGGGTGCTGGCACAGTGAAACCTTCACGCTGTGCACAGCTCCCGGTCCGCATGCCGGAAAGCCAGGCAGGCCACTTCCAGGGAGCTGGAGATGGACACCTCGGCGTGCCGAAAGCGCGCGGCTTTCGATCGGGATGAAAAAATAGCTCCTTAAAAAGAGTTCGACCTGCCTGAAGCTTGAGAAGCTCGTTCAGACAAAAGATGAGCTCCTTTCAATTTCCCAGGTGCGATTCATCTGCTGACAGAATCACCGTGCATGGCACCTCGTCCTGCTCTGGTTCTGCATTTACGCTGACCATTGGAACCTGTGCAATTTCAGAGGCTGGCGTTGGTCGGCAGCACGAACTGAGGCGGGCGCCCCTAGCACGGGCAACTGCGCGGTCGCTGATGCATCGGAGGCAGGCGTTCCAGCCGCCTCCGAACCACAGACGAGGAATCCAGAGGAGAACAGACACGCTGCTGCATGGCGTCCTTCGCGGAGCTGCCGCTCTTGGCCTTCTCCTTGGGACGGCTGCCCCAGCTGTCCTGGCAGATTCACCGCCTGAAATAAAGCTAGATGTGGGACAGCTTTCAACCCGCTTCGAGGGGCAGTATGTGGCACCTTTTCCGGGCTGACGAACTGCGGGTGTCGCCGAATCTTAAGGGATCCCAAGCAACTTCACTCCAGACTTGCGTCTGCATCTGGCATCAGCACCCACTTCGTTCGAACACCCGACGCGGTTCCTTTGCCGTTCCCATCGAGACTGCTGCTCAAATCGTCCTCCAGTTCACTCTCGTAGCCGCGATCCAGAAAATAGGCCTGCAGAATGCGCTGGTCATATCGTGGCGGAAAGCCGCGGCTGCGCAGCAGCGTTGAAGTTGCCTCCAGGTTTGCTGGTTCCTTCACGAAGGACGAGAAGGTTATCCTCCCATCTGTGGCCAAATCAAGCTCGGACAGGCTGAAGTCCTTGCAGTAGCCTTGCCCGCGCAAATAGTCCAGCAAGCGACGCGTGCCTGCTGCCAGATCGCCTGCGGAGCTTCCTTGTCCGAGTGGTGGCTGCAGTGCTGGCCATGCCCCCGAAAGGGGCGAGGACATGTTTACAGGAGCCTTGGGATCGTATTCGTCCCCTTGGATTATCCGGGGTCCGACAACATCGCCAGAAATGATTTTCCGGTACAAACGTGCACCGACGTTCAGGCCGAAGCGATCCTGCTCCCCTCGTCTCTTGATCCCATCTTGCAGAGTTCGAAACTGCACCTCGTTGAGGAAGGAGAAGTAGAGACGGTTGGACCGCGGATCTTTCTCAAGCAGTTGCGACTGGTTGAAGAGCCCCGAAAGGTCGTAGGTAGCAAATCGCTCCTTGAAGGCAGGAAAGCTTTCGCTGCGCTTCTTGTTGAAGTTGGTCTGGTACAAGCCGGGCTTCCCGAATGGCCCTCCCCAGTCCAGTGCCGCCTCCTGGGTCGTTCTTAGCAAGATCACAGCTGTAGCGACCGGAAGCTCGGGCGCCTTCTTCAGGCTTCGAAATGTCGGGCCGACGTCGGCTGTGGGGGCAGCTACAGCAGGACCTGAATAAAGCCATGCAGACACACCCAGCATCCGTCGGGAGATGTCAGACTGTACCTTCGAGTTGCTGTGGGTCCCATGTAGAAAGCTGCGAAAGCTGGGCATTTGCCGCAGTGTCCAGAAGTAAAGACCTGCGACGAGAAGGCACGCCAGCCATCCGGATTTCTTCTGTCTCATCTTGCACAGAAATCTGGGTGACACCCGCAACGTGCTTGCTATTGACATTGTTTGAAGCCCATTGGCCCATTGTAGCCTGCTTAAGGTTGTGCTTGCAGTCTACCATTTCATCTAACTAATCGTATGTGTGTATCAGCCAGAATGGGATCAGCTTTGAGTCCCAAGCGACGCAAAGCGAGCCAACTATCTTTCAAGCAGTGACAGGCACACTGATCTTGCTGAAAGATCACTCGTTGAGGGTGGATGAGTGACCTCGGATGCGTGCAGCTCAATTTAACAGCGCCTCCGGCTATGTTGCGCAAGACGTGTAAGAACGGGACAATAGGCACAGGGGCTGCAGGAGCCTCCGACAGGATAGGAGCACGGGCAGTATGTTTCGTGATGCAAGAGGTCAGCTATCAAGCTGGTCAAGTACCTCCGCAAAGAGATCTGTGGGCATCTTCAGCCCTTCCTGGAACCGTACCCACTAGAACAGAACGGCAGAAGAGGAGTACCAACGCCTAGCCCTCTTGGCCGAGCACCCTTGGTAAGTCCAACGCTGGTGGCACACCGCCTGACCCACTGGAAGCTTGATGCTTGTTCCTTCGAAAGGCGACCGGGCCAACACATCGCAGGCCTCCCCCCATCCAAGGATGAACTATGCAGTCCTGCTCAGAGTTGATGAAGTCAGGCAAGATAAACCTAATAGTGCGTTCCGGGCATGCTCCTCCAGTTTGAGCCTGTCGTTCGGGTTGACCTTCAGCAAACCTCGGACCATGTCCTGTCAGGCTCACTCGATCATGCTAGCCCCAGGCTGGCTGCAATCTCACCCTGCCTTCGCTTCCTCAGACACCCGCTGCCAAGCGGGAGAAGTCATGCCTGAGCATAGAAGGATCAGCCATTGGTGCCAAGTTGTCAGGCTGCCATGCCGAGCTACTGTAGCTGGCAGTTCGGATCTGCTCCTGCGCAGGATCTCTGAATCTGAGCAAGTGAGGGAAGCCCAGGACCAAGCAATCCAACGCCCTCGCAACAGCAAACCTCTACCCCTTATGCTACCGAGGCCTCCAGTGGCATTGCCTTCCCGTCAAACGGGTAGCGACCACCCAACATCACGAAGAGGACGGCACCCAAACTCACCACGCGAAGCTTGGAAACATGTTCCTCGGGACAAGACAGCACCTGCCTCCAGAAGTCAGCTGCTTGCGTGTAGACCCCGCCGCCCCTCTGCACGTTCAAGACCTCAGAAAACACAGAACAGGAATCCCTCAACACTTCAAGCAGCCGGCTCCTGATTCTGAGCTCTTCACCTCAGGCGCCCAATACTGGGGTGTCCCGACAAAGGTCTTTGCGAGAGACGAGCCCTGACAGCACAGTGGCCTCAACCGGAAGTCAGGCGAAGGCGAAGGACCGAAGGAGCCTCGTTGATGATCTTGGAGAGGCCGAAATCTGCAATCTTCACCTCTCTCAAGGTTCCCGTCCTGCGGGGTGATCTTTTTCAAAAGAAGCGTCAGCGAAGCCGAGGCGCTGGAGATCGCTGAAGCATGCTGAACTCCGAGCCCGGGCCCCGCGCAGCGGGGGAGGCAGCTCCATGCTCGAGCCGATCAAAATGTTCTCAGGCCTTCAGCGGTCTGCGATGTTTTGGGCTTCTGATCCAGAATCCGGGAGCGAACTTCAGGTCTCGATGAATGACGTTCTTGGAGTGCATGTAGCCCACACCTGGCATAAAGATGCGATTGTCACAGTGGAGTTGGCCCTCAGAAGTCTTCACAAGACGTGCGGGCTCCGCCCTCCAGCAGTTGGCGGAAGATGTACTTGGCCTCAACTTCGTTGAGGGTCCTCAGACGCACACATGAGCGACAACCAGAACGTGCCCCTCTGACAAACTCAAACAGCTCCTTGAACTAGGCAGCAAGCATCCAGCACTTTACTCAGGCGCGGGCTTGCTGCTCACAATTGCGTCAAAAAGCTCACCGCCCCTGACCAGTTCCATGACCTCGCAATTGACGCAGGTGAGTGAGCATAGCCGGGAATGTTCGGACCGAGGTCAGTGGCTAAAAACACCCATTGCTTCGTTCTGTGTACATCGTGGAGGTTGACGATCCTTTCGAAGCATGGTCAATCTGATAATTGTCTCCTTTCCCTTCTGCAGCATAGGTTGCAACAGCCGTTGTGTCAAAGCAGTCCTGGAATGATGTAGTCCTTGAAGGATCTGCACCTCACGGTTCATCTTTACCTGGCGGTGCCCAGGACGCAGAGGTGACATGCGCAGTAAGGGCCCTCAAAAAAGCTCCAGCCACCCAAGACTGAAACCTTAAAGCTGGGGCGGTGCGGAGCACAGAGAGCGTGTCACTCTGTTTCTCTCTGACAGGCCTTTGCCTCGTGCGTCCGCCTCCTTTACACAGCGCTTTACACAGCGGACACTCTTAGGGCGCCTTGAATCTCGCCGAACAAAGGCACCATCTGCTGACGTATGCAGCAGGAATGCAACGCATGAATTCCGGATTGGAAAGGATGGAATACTCGTGAGGTCTAGCCGTCCGATTTTCTTCACAAATTTAACTGTTGAGTTTGATCCGCTTGCTTGCTTCTGCGCGGTCCCTGCATTTCGTTTTACAAGTTTTCCAAGCGCAAGTTTGGGTGCTGAAGTGCATTCGCACGGCTGTCTCGTCCAAATGCTTAAACGGTTGAACTGTTGAACGTCGGTTCCGAAACGAATGTGGCGCACGAGCTACATCGGTCATACACCATGCGCATCCAGCGGTTGTTCAAGGTGCAAGACGAGTAACGAAGCATTCAGCCAAGAGCAAAACAGATCTTGGGACTGAGGGGAGGAACGGCAGGTAGAGGGGGAGGGGCACATAGCTATGATGGTGCATGCACGTCTTGTCACTCCGTGCGGCAGCTTCTCTTACAGCCGTTTCCACCACAGTTTCGGATCAAAGCGAAGGAAAGAGACACCAGGGTAATGATGCTTGTGCATGAAGTCTTGCCAGTTCGATGCCATCTTCCTGTTGCAGTCTTGTCTATCGACATCTTGTCGATCAAGCCCGACGCATCATCAGGTCTAGCCGATGGATACAGAGGGGACCGGCGAGGGATCGATCTGGGATGTGTGATCAGTATAGGGACATGGCGGGATAGAGTTCATGCACAGTTTAGGGGCCTGAACAATTGAGCTGCACAGTCTAAAGATCCACCTGCATAGCAGTTGGGGACTCTTCCAGCTCGTGTAAAATGCATCCGTTTTCAACGTGAGTCATAACAGAAGCTTCAAAACCAAGGACCTTTCCTCACTTGTGGAATTCCATCCGCTCAGGCACATGGGTTTCGGTGTGAGAAGTTGCTACAACACCGTCAACTGCACAAGGGCTTTGCTTCTCCGGCTTAGCTCCGGAAGGCGGTCGCCACATAGCAACTGCAGCAACACCAATTCCAAAGACTAGCACAAATGAAGCAAGCTGAATACAACCCCAGCGTGGAATGCCCAAGAACATGGGCTCCTGCACTCCTGGTGTGCCGTACCATGGCGCTGACACCAAAGCTATGAGAAACATAAGAAGGATGAGGACGAGGCTCGGCTCTCTGGATGTGGCCATTAGATCCTGGATCTGGCTGACTTCGAGCAGCTGCTTCCGCCGCGAGCTGGGAAGAAGAAAGCTCACCAGGCTATCCAGGCCGACAGTCAGGAAGTTCAGGAAGGCGGAGACATTGATGTCAGGCACATACTCCTCGAAAGGGTTCCCGAAGATCACGAGGAGGATCAGGGACAGGAGGCCTACGAGGATCCCAGTGCTTAGTGCCCGCTCAGTCACTGACAGGTACAGACCCATCCCAAATGCCGGAAGCAGCTGCAGCAGCATGCCGTTTTGGAAGACGATGATGGCGCCCATCTGGTCACTGCTCAGGTAGGTACCCATAAAAAATGCCACCGCGCAGGTGAATACCGAACTGACCAGTCCAACGTGCACCAGGGTGTCAGTAGACATTTTCGGCACCAGAGCTCCCTGCAGTATGTCGATCGACACGACACTGGATACACCCATCAGGGCAGAATCAGCAGTGGACATGATGGCTGCGAGTGCAGAGCAGGTCATCACAGAAACCAAGAAGTATTGAAACGGGCCCAGAAGTCGTAGCTGAGCTGTTAGCCCAGAGAAGGCTGTGGCTTTTTGCTCGATGGCTGGCCACGCGGGATCGTTGGCTGCTTTCGTAAGGCCTATCACAATGCCAGGGGGCTGGGCAATAAATGGCGCGAGGAGCATGGCCTCCGCAGCTTTACGGCACATGTCAGTCCGAAGCCTACTTAACGTCTTCAGCTACGGGCCTCCTACCCCATTAAGCACTCCTTAACGCCCAAAATGCACAATGGCCGAGGTGCTCCAATCACGATACGCAAGTCGAAGTCGCTGCGTGCGATGTAGGCTCGCTGGAGCATGTGGGGTTGAACCGGAGCCGCAAGCATGTTAACGAGGAAAAACAAGATGCTGCAGAGGGTTGACCTCTCTGGGAAATCATAAAACTCTGGTTTCACGGCATCAATGCAGCCGGCGGTGAGGCAGCCTGGTCCAGAGCAATCCGTCTCTGGTGCTTCGTAGGGGTCTGGCATGTATGGCGACACATGCACCAAGTAGGGGCAATCGGCAGGGGCCATCTCCGGCAGGAAGCCCCACTCAGCTCCCACTAGAAATGGAACCGTCAGAAAGGCAGCAATCATGACAATGCTTTGCACCACATCGGTGAACACCACACTGTTCATGCCACCCAACATCTCTAAGGTGAGTATCATAGCAGAGAAAATCAGCATGCAAACCCACTTCGGCAAGACCCCCAAGGTCATTCCCTCCACCATCGCCGCAAAAGAAATCATTTGAGCAGTGATGTACAGAGTCATGGGAATCACTCCACATATGGCGCAAAGGACTCTCAAGCGCTTGGTCCCGAAGCGGTCCGAGATGAAATCGAAGGGGCTGGTGTAGTTGCGCTCTACGGCCAATCTTCGGAGCCTGTCAAGAGAAAGCATCACTTCCGGTCCCTGGCCCTTCCCTTCGCCACTAGATCCCGGCGAGGCACCCCCCGGGGCTTCGCAGGAGCTTGTCTCCTCCCCTTGTCTACTCTGCCTTTCGTGGCGCTCGTTCACATCGTCTATTTTCTCCAACAATCCAACAAGACACTAGCACGAAAAAAACAGAGAAATGAATGTTTCAGAGCGCTGGGGTCGCAGAACATGGCTTCCTGTCGTGCAGTGCGTCTCACCTCAGCCTGCATATATGAAATTCATGTTGATGCCCCCTGCCTCTATCCTGCGTCTCTGATGGCTTGAAGTTAAAGCAAGATGCCAAAATTCCCCCGGGATTCGTTAGCAAGATTTAAATGAGTAAGAGGCAATGTCTAGACACTTTCTGGCCGGACTCGGCGCAGAAAACAAAATACAGACCCCATTCGACCCGAACTTTGGACCCGCTCTCTGCCAGGCCTGGGATAAAGAAGCAGCATCCCGGCGACAATCACCAAGGTCGCGCCAATCCATCTCAGGGACACGAAGCCCTTAGCAAAGGCCTCATCTGGAATGCCCGTAACCGTGAAGCCTTAGCTCGAGAAGGCAATGGGGGGAGGACTTCCATCCAGTGCTGCAAGGTTTCAGCTGGGAAGCCAGAGTACACCGTAGAGAAGGTAGTCAGCATCAGCACGAAAGAACCGTAAGAGCCGCTGAAGTGAGCCTTCACCTGTTCATCGAATGAATCATACTGAATCATACTCATATTCAAGCACCACCTCCCAAAACTTGCTTCTCGTCTCGGGGCACCTTGCCGAGCTCGGCCGAGTCCCTCCGCTTTCTTGCATGCGCGACTTTCGCAATGCAGATCAGCAGGGCGATGTAGATGCCCACAACAACCTCAGGTTCTGCAGCAAAGTGCGGATGAAAGCAGTCTTGCAGCAGCCGCCTTGGCTTGTTTGACACGGTTGTTGTAGTTATCCTTTGCTTTTTATGGCGAGCGGTTTGACGAGCGAATGTATCTTGAAGGTGTCCGGGAAACGTACAGCACCACGTTCCCGCTTTGATGCTCCTCCAACAAAAGACTCTCATCAACAGCAGCACTCACACTCTGTCACCGAACCCAGCATTGAGCACTGCCTCTTCTGCGGCTGCCATCGGCTAAGCGGCCGACTCTGTGATGCGGCTCCCCTAATCTACTTGAATCTACTTCCTACGCTTCAAAGCGGCCCTGCTTTCCGAGCCCGATGGCAATGAGAGGCTGGACACGGAGAGGCTTCCCGTGGTCGACAAGCATGGCGGGAGGGCCAGGTGACTTTCGTAGTCACCCATGAGCATGAGCTTGGCTAGGTTGATTACCTGCCCAAAACGGCAATCTCCAGGCCTAGAGTCACCAGGGGCCCCAAAGGGTCTCGTTTCTGGACCTACGGAGTTCTAGGGTGCTGGTGGTATTGAAGGCGACACAGCTCAGGCGGCATTCGGAAAAGACAAGTGGTCATGACTGACTGTGGATGGCCTTGACGGCAAGCTCTTCGCCAGTCCTAAGCCGTCGGCAAACATAGACCTGACGTTTCTTGGGTTCACTGTGCTTGCTTGCAACTGCTGCTCATGGCAAGAAGGGCACCTTCGCAGCGGCGCCGCTGCCGATTTCCTGCGGCGCCGCGCTAGGCACAGTTGCTGAGGATGCCCGACTCTTTCAAGGCTCCTCGCCGAGCTCCAACAAGTCCGATGGGTAACCGAACTTGCATCCTATCCGGACAACCTGCTGCGGACTCGAAACGAAAACGATCAGGAAACGTCACAGATCTCACACATCATCCATCAGCAATCAGCAATCATGTGCCACGTGCCGCTGCAAGACCAACTTGGGAGCCTCGTTCTCAGTACCATCTTCAGACCTGCGGCAAAACATGGACATGATGTAGGCACGCTTACCTGGTGAGGGTGCAAGGGTCTCCTGTTCTGGAGTTTCGGTGACCAGCTGAGGCTGAGACACTACTATGGACCGACCTTCCATGCGCCAAACTTCGCTGGAAGCGGCTGAATCAAATTACCGGGGGAACCCGCATGGGCTGGGTGAGTAGGGGTTCTGCCGAACTCTGGACTTGACTAATGCACAGCTTGAGCGGTATAGGGTGTGCCATTGTCATCAGGTCAGGTCAGGTTTGTGGCCGACGTAGGTTGATTTCAGAAGCCGACAACGGAACACGAATTTCTCTGTGTGGATACTAAATATTTTAATAGTCTAAAGTAAAACCATACAGCATGAACAGAAGGTGGGAACGAATAAGTCAATGTACCTGTGTAAGCATGACCAGATGCGGTCAACTGAAATGTTTTCATATTACATAATTATATGACATATGTCTATAAAGCCTTGCATATTCAATCGAAAACCAGTCCAATCGTCTGCTGTATGCACATCTTCAACTCTACGTCTATACATTACATGCCAAGATGAGTATGTATGGATACAGACGTGTACACACATGGAGTTGTTCTGAAAAGAGGCATGTTGACAGCTATACACGTATCAGGCAGTTGCCATGCCATCCTAAACTTCCATGTTTAGCCCACTGCCTTGAGCCACTAAGTGCAAGAAGCTGACATTTCGGAGCCTTCCTCGGGCATTCTGTGTGGATCAAGACGCTAAGACTGCATGTCGATCTGCGGGGTATGCCCAAACGAGACAGAGAGAGAGGGGGAGAGCGAGAGAGAGAGAGAGAGAGAGAGAGATAGAGCGAGCACCCGTCAGCTGAAAACAAACTGAACACATGACATACAGGTAGTTGCAAGTGTAAAGCAGTAGAGTTGCATTACCCTTTCTTGCGCATGCCTTTGGCAATTCTTTCCCGTGCAGCACCTTTGGTGTGCAGAGCGTGTTGCAGAGCGCAAAGTTTTGCGGTTAGTGAGACTCGCGATTCGTAAACAGCGGGCCCGCGCGGCGGCCAGGCTTGCCGAGATTCAGCTAGCGCCCACGACAGGTGTACTACAAATGTAAACGGAAGTTGGCCATGAAGGATTGAAAAGGGGCGCGGCGCGGCGCTGTCCCTCAGGATCGAACTCCCGGATAGCAAGGCCTCAGAGAGCGACTATCCCACTGAAGACCATCGCCGTCATGCTGCCGAAACTGTGGCAGTGCTGACCAGTGACGTACAGGGCAGCGGAACACCATGCATGTGGGGTAGCTGACGGTAGCTGAGCTTCATGCATGAACTGCGTCAAGCGGGGCGTCGCTACCCCGTCTGAACTGCCTTCGGACCACAGGAGTTCACGAGGGGGTCGGTTGGTAAGTACACCTAAGCTGCAGAGCGGATGAACTACTTCAATGACACTAAGTAGGGCGCTGGGGTGCAGGCCACTTCTGCCAGGGTCGTGCGGCAACGGGACAAAAGCTTGCAGGTCTGGATCTGCAACCTTGGAAACTGATGATACAGCCTGCCCGTGCTTTCCTGCTTCCCAGGCCTGATCCAGCGTGAAGTCATTCGCTGACGGACGTTCATCTGGCCTTACAGATCTCACAGAAACACGGCACAAGCGGCACGTTTTGGCGACCCTGCAAATGCGCGGTGCCTCAGGTGCAGGAGCTCCGACGACCGCTTGCAAGGCAAGTCCTGGATGCAGGCCATGGAGTGACATAGCAGCTTTCTCAACAGGGCCGATGCTCGAAATGCCTTGGAAGATGGTATGAAGTCGGACATGCGTGGCGTGAACTCGGCCAGCATGGCCTGCAACTCGAGGCTCAGTGAATCTCGTCTGAACATCTCTCGACACTGCAGCACCTGCAAGGCATGCTTCTCGGCCGCAAGGCTGCGGTGGCTCCTGTGTGTGCATGCCTATTAAACACTGTGAAAGCTGCTCAAACGCTGTCCATCTCGAGGCCACGCTGGCTTGAACCGCCGGGCTTTGCAGGTCCTGACCAGCATGAGGCTAGCATGAGGCTTGGAACCTTCCCTTGCACCACGCGGTTTGTACACTGCACTGTGTGCTGACGCCTGCCTTGTTCTCGTTCAGCAGCCAGCTGCTCCTAGTAAAAGATCAGAAAAGATCCAAGCCGCACGCCACGCTTGCCGGACATGCCGGCGCAGTGACTGGGTTTCCCGGCCTGTCAGGCATGAAGTCCAGGAGATCTTCAGAAACCTCCGGAGACAGAAAATAGCAGTCTCTGCCCTGCTTGAACCGGTTCTTCTCTTGTCCGGTTGAGCACTCCACAACGCTCGACTCGCTGTGCGCTGACGGCCTCAATCTGTGATCCAAGCGAATTTATCTCCAGACGTAGTATTTAGTGAGGTGAGGACTTTCTGCGAAATGTGCTTGGCGCAAACCTCTGCAAGTCCAGCAGAGCATGATTGGTCCAGCACAGCGTGCAGCAGAATCGCTAGGCCAGGCAGGCCGTTGCCTGGACAGGCGCGGGGTTTCGATGTGCGTGTCATCGCCCTCAGCATCCTGCAGCAGATGAATGACACATACACACAGAGAATCACAGAGAGCTGCATAAACCGCGCCCAGCTCATGCGTCCGTCAGTACCCAGGCAGAGGCCGCCGGACGAGCCGAGAAGGGCGCAACCTTCTGCAACGTGTCACAAAGGTCACCCCATGCAGCTGAGAGAGTGCTGCTGAGAGAGTCAGACCTGCCCGCTCTGCAAGGCCTGCTCCGGACTTGGCCTTAGAGCTCTGGGTCTCTGGGCCTGCACTACAATCAGGTTCTAGTAACGATCGCTAGAAGCCCAACGCCACGGCTGGAGATGGCGAAGACGGCCTCAACACTTCCTCACAGAGACGGTGCATGCTGAACGCGCGGCACGTCACTACAAGCAGTTTCGCAGAACGCCTAAGTTCCGCCAAGCGGCAGAACTGACAGTCGCAGCTGGGGCGACACCAGGTTCTGCCGAAAGTGGCGGCTTCCTTGAATCTACTCTTTGCCGGCATCAGTTTTACAAAAAAACGATAGCCATCGATAGGCATCTGCTTGTGGCAGTGATTGCAAGCAAACAGTTGCAAACAGCTCAGGCAACAGCGCATCTGCTTGGGTACTATGCTGCTGTACCTTGCGACGAGAAAGTCAAGAATGCAAAGTCTGTGCACGCGGACTATCACAGAACGCCTGGCACGTTCCGCCAAGCGGCAGGACTGACAGTCGCAGCTGGGGCGACACCAGGTTCTGCTGAAAGTGGCGGCTTCCTTGAATCTACTCTTTGCCGGCATCGAAAATGCGAAACATCGACGGGTTGGGTTGTAGCAGTGTTTGCACACAGCTCAGGCAATAGCGCATCTGCTGCAGCATGACTTGGCTGTGCCTTTCCGCACGAATTACATCAACGCAGCAAGAAGCAGCCGAAGCAGCTATGCATAGTCGCACCGAACGCGTAGCGGCCAAGCGGCAGGAGTCACAGTTGCAGCTGCGGGGACGCTAGGCTCTGCATCCAACCTGCATTTTGGCGCTGGCGCCGTGCGCAACCAAGAACTGTATGGTATGGTCGCAGCAGCAGCTCAGGCACTAACGCATCTGCTTCACTCTCATCCTCAGACAACTCTAGACAGCTGCTGCGGTACAGTCCCCTCGCTTCAGGCTCCGTGACACTGTGCATGAACGCATCTTGCCTATTCTTGCCTGTTCTAAGCTGCAGACAGCGAAGCCGCGCAAAGCAGACTGCAGCCGTCCGTCCAAGTACCCCTTGGACAGGGCATCACGTGCTTTGCGTCGCAGCCTTCGTGCACGAACTCGCGAAAACCCATCCTCTGCAAAGTGTGTCCAGAACGGATCTAGCACTTAAGATTGCAGGCCTTTGCACAGGCGACAGCGTGGCTTCAGCACCACTGTGTTGCTGCACCTTGCAAAAAGTTTCCCTTGATTCGATGATTCCGACAGGTGCGAAATGTGCTAAGTAAATGATGCTGGAACTTCAGAAACAACAGTTCAAAAGCCGGCCACGCACTGCTCCAAGTAAGACCCTGCCCTATATTATCCTGGCCGATCTCCGCATCCATTCAAACCTGCTTTAAAGGCAAGACTGACAGCCGACATACTGCATCGCAGAAATGGTAACAGACTGTACACGGAGGTCAACATGTCCTGTACCTGCTGTTGTAGGCCAAGCGGCAGGACTGACATTTGCAGCTGGGGCGACACCAGCGGCTGCTGAACTTGGCGGCATCCTGGTATCTATATCTAGATTGCGAAACATCGACGGCTCAGGTTATAGCAGCGTTTGCACACAGCTCAGGCAATAGCGCATCTGCTGCAGCATGACTTGGCTGCGCCTTGCCGCAAGAATTACATCAACGCAGCAAGAAGCAGCCGAAGCAGCTATGCATAGTCGCACCGAACGCGTAGCGGCCAAGCGTCAGGAGTCACAGTTGGAGCTGCGGGGACGCTAGGCTCTGCATCCAACCTCCATTTTGGCGCTGGCGCCGTGCGCAGCCAAGAACTGTGTGGTATGGTCGCAGCAGCAGCTCAGGCACTAACGCATCTGCTTCACTCTCATCCTCAGACAACTCTAGACAGCTGCTGCGGTACAGTCCCCTCGCTTCAGGCTCTGTGACACTGTGCATGAATGCATCTTGCTTATTCTTGCCTGTTCTAAGCTGCAGACAGCGAAGCCGCGCAAAGCAGACTGCAGCCGCCCGTCCAAGTACCCCTTGGACAGGGCATCACGTGCTTTCCGCCGCAGCCTTCGTGCACGAAGTCGCGAAAGCCCATAGTCTGCAAAGTGTGTCAAGAATGGACATAGCACTTAAGATTGCAGGCCTTTGTTCAGGCGACAGCGCGGCTTCAGCACTGCTGTGTCGCTGTGCCTTAAGAAACACGAAACATCCCTTCCCTTCGGCAGGATGCAGCTGATGCGAAACTGCCTTCATGCAGACTTCCGATTCCTTGCACTGCTTCCAAGCCGCAGCAATGACAGGATGACCGGACGCCGCAGCAGGCTCTTCGCAACTCCGCAGTTGCCTTGCACGCACTCTTCACTCGCAAGCATGTGACCTTACTGTGGCAGCGTCTGCGAACAGCTAGCAGCTAAAGCACTGACACGTTTGCTTCAGCACGAAGGTGCTGAGCCTTGGGCAAAATCCGACACTATAAGACTTAAGAAAAAAGCAGTGCAATGAGATCTCTCATTATGCTGCAGTTAGGCAGAAAAGGGCTGGGCTTGGGCTGTGCCGGGTTCTCGCGTCTGCAGAAGCCTCCGACCCACTTCGCACGGCAAACAGGGCCAGATGGGCAGCTCGGGCCAGCTGGGGCCAGCTAGGGCACAGGCAACTCCGCTTCATGCTCTTCCTGGATCAACAGGAACGGGACAGGATTGATTCAGCCATTCAGCGTGGTGTCTGCTGTCAAGCTTGCGTGTGCTGTTCACTCACGACAAGCGCTGTAAGACGTTGACAGGAAGACTGCACAACGTAGAATGCAGCCGCCCGTCTAAGTACCCCTTGGACAGGGCGTCCCTCGCTTTCCGCCGCAGCCTTCGTCGACAGCAAACGCAAGCGGCATGCTCAGATCTACCACTGTAGAACGTTTGTTGGCCTCTGCATCGTGCAAGCTTGTTGCTCTCGAGCAATCTGGCGAAGTCAAGCGTTCACATGATACTAGCAGTTGAGAAAGCTAGCGCCGTTGGTACGAGTTGTGCAGCAAAGTCACCGGGCGGCTGGCTGCCTTGAGCACAGGACCTCAAAGCGCATCCGATGTTCAGCTTCACGTTGCATCACGCTGCAGTGCAGTTGCTGCACCTCTCTGAAGAGAACTTTGAACGCCAGTCGTTGGGGTTGGGAGGGAGGAGTGCGGGATGTCGGGTCTTGGGATGTGTTACACAGCGTTGGGCACACTGCTCTGAGCCCGCGAGAGCCGGGCCAGACTCTTGGAAGGCAACGGAAGGCGGCTCGGGCGGCTCAGCCTGGAGCAGAGAGACCCGACTCGCATGGCTCTTTACCGGAAGGCCCCAAAGTGACTCCGGAGATTCTCAGAGTTGAGCAGAGTCAAGCCAGTTACATGCAACTGAAGACACGACACCCTCTCAATCCCTGGCAGATAGCTCTGCAATTCCACGGCGCCTTCGAGCCAACATCCCTGGCAGCCGCAGCTTGTAAGCACCTTTACAAGCCCACTTCGCAGTGCCCTCCCTCTCCGTGCGAACAGGCCTCCCTATGTAGAGGAACGGATCCTCGCGAGCCGAAAGCTGAACTTGGACAGCGTTCACACATGTCCAAGGGTGATTGCAAAATTACGATCTCTCCTCGGGTTGCTCTGCAGTGAGACCCTGAAACACCTCTTTCATGAAGGAGTGCCTGGATGCTCTTGTCAGGAGACAGTTTTTGGGACAGCAGCTGCGCAAAGAGACAATCAGGATGAGGCAGGTCGTGCTTGACAAGATATGCTTCGATGGCAGATTCCTGCAGCGAACTGCTTGAGGAAAGCCTCTGATCTGGCTCCAAGCGCACCTTGTCCTTTCTGCTTAACTTCGGGGTGTGGCAGCTCTCGTCCTCCTCCTCGGCAAAACATCAGGAGAACGGAAGAGCTTCAGACTGCGCCTGGGACATGGGCACCATCCACTTTGCGTACACGGAAGGTAACCTTGAGACATTTCAGAGGAAGTCTCAAAGGACCGTGACAAGTCCAAGTCCGCACTCGGCGCCCGAACACTCATGGACTTGCCGCCGTTGCTCATGGGGACCTGCATGTGCAGCAAAAGCAGCTTCGTGCTTCGGGGGGGCTCACTGCTCCCTCCCTTCCCCGTGGTCGCACCTTCAGGAGCTTCTCGCATGGACCAGGCGAGCAAACCTGCAGAAGCCGCTCGGCTTCACAGCTCTTGATAACCGGGGGAAGCGAGCCTCATGCCCTTTGGCCCTGCAGGTCAGTACGTCCAGCTCCACAGGAACGGGCCTTTCAGAAGCCATGCCCTTTTAAGTCCTTTTGTGAAGGCGTTGGGAATCCGAAGTAAGCTTGGTGCGGCTGCTCGAGCTTGAAAGGCGCCTTTTCAATGAGTGACAGACTGACAGACCAAGATCCTGATGCAAGTGCCTCCTATGTCAAGAGAAGACAGTTCTGGCCTGACATGGTATCAGCTGCTGCCGTCTCGAGCTACCAGACTTCACCTGCTGGCTACTTCTGGTTGATACAGATGAAGATCCGCCGAACCTTGCCTTTTGAGCATTAGCTTGGGCGCTAGCTGAGAGAATGCTGTTGGGCGGAATGCCCTGGGTTTGAAGGACGTGGAGGCGCATACCTTCACCCAACAGCAGCAGGGAGTGCGACGGCGTTGGAGTTCGCGTCAATTCATTTGCCACGCCTTTGGCGCTTCACTCATGGCTCGCCGGTGGGATGAGCACCTGCCAATGCGCAGTAGATACGAGTACCTCATCAGTCAGAATTCCCAGGGCCCAAGCACTCGGCTCCCCCATAGCTGACAGAGAGCAGAGCCCGAGCCGAGCAGCGAATGCAAGAAAGCTCTCAGGTCCATGTACCCACGTAGCAGCAAAGGCAACCGCAGCTTGAGTTTGCCCTGGTGTAGTCACGGAGTCACTTATGGGACCTGAACAGACACAGATTCTGCAAGAAGCACGGTGTTTTCTGCTCAGCCGAAGCACGACGCTCCAGCACAAACCTGACAGAGCATTCTGTCACTCCCTGCTTCCTTTGACCGACATGGTGATGCGAAGAAAGCAGCCTGGCAGATCTCGCCTAGCCTTCGCCTTGATCCACGAGCGTGTCGAAAAGAATCAGACAGTGCAAATGTAAGGAAAGTTTAAGCCCCTTGCAACCAATGCTTGCCTGCGGCAGAAGTTTAAGCATAACTTCTTTTGCAACGAGGCTTCAGACGTGCAATTCTGCCAAACACGACAGCTTCATTTGACCCCAGCGGTATAAACCCGCTGTGGGAAAAGAGTTAAGTCAAGTTGTTGTTCGTGGGTTCTCATTTCTGCAAGCTTTCGAAAACCACCGCATGGCGCCTGTGGCTGGGGATGCAGCTTGCACAGCATCCAAGAATCCGGGCCGGGCCATGTCCATTGCAGATCGACCGTCCTTGCAGAAAAGCCCAGTGATGCCCAGGGTGGATGCTGCTGCGCTTTCCCTGTGTGTCCTCGTCCAGAGCATCCAAGGAAGCTCGGGCCGACAGGAGCAGGGATGCTAGCTTTACGCTGCCGCAGGCCACACTGATGTGCAAAGCAGTTCGATGCCTGCACTGCAATGTGGAACCCAAAACAGGCAGCTTGCATGCGTGGCATTGCTTTGCACCCTGCGCACTACTTGCTGGATTTCGGCAGTGGCCTCGGGCCAGCGATGTTGGGATCGGCAGCCTTGAGACTTGGCTGTTTAAATGCTTCGGTCAACGGCACTACTGACTGATTGCCTAGCTACTTTGCTATAAGCATGCTGTACATATGTGTCTCGCGATGCTTTTGCCACCAAGAATCTGCGAGCAGCAGCGCCTTTGTTGTGGCCTGACAGGCCATACTGACACCTTTCAACACACAGCCTGGATGTAGGGATTCCGTCTGCTGGAGGATTTTTTGTCGTCTGCCACATCTGCTATCTAGACGTGCCTCGGCCCCAGGCTTGTGGACCTCACCCGCCACAGGGCAAACCAGGCCATCCTGGCAACTTCTGCTGGGCACAAGGGAAAACAGTGGATCTTTGCTCGCAGGCTCTTTGGAGACGTCTGCAGGGTCGGGGTCCTTCAGCCCAGACTCGACAGCGTACCTCGTGGTGGCGGCACCCACAAACGGCGCAGAGTCGAGGCGCTTAGGCCGGGCTAAATGTGCTGCCAGGCTACAGAAGCGGAGACTGGCCATCGCCGGAGCGTGCGTTGACGTCTGCCCGGCCCTCAAGGAGTGCAAGGACCACGGCCGTGTGCCTTCGAACGGGGGTTCAACTTGGCAAGACTATATGGCTCAGAGAGTATAATTTACAGCTTTCACTGACACACTCTCCTTCTTTCGACGAAGATGCGCTAAAGCAGCGGCTCCCATGAGGGCCGTCTTGTCATTCCTTTGGGCTAGTATCTGCAAGCAGTCTGCATGCTTGAAATCCGTTGCGAACTGGAAACACACTTCTTGCGAACATCGTTCGAGTACCGGTGGTCAGCGCTCGCAGTGCTTCGCAGCAGAAGCTTGACTGCATCGACGTGCCCTGCACAACAGGACGCTTGAGAAGAGGGCCACGAAAGCTGGGGAAAGGAAACGCAGCAAACAAAGGGCGGGGCAGTGGGGCGACTGGTCAAACGAATCAATTACCCTGCAGCATTGTGAATCACTCAAGCGTGGCCGAAGCCGAGGCCTGGCACTCCTAGTGGGTTCGGGACATATTGTATAGTCGAGGCAACCCGCTGCCGGTGCTAAATGCTAGAAGTTGTTGCAAATTTCACCAACGAATTACGAAAGCTGCTAGGCATGTGCCGGCCCCAAAGTGCCAATACACCCCACGCAACCCTAAGCGAGCGCCGCAAGGGCCGCAACACGCAGCTGTGTGCAGCCGCGACGGTCGATATGGCTCAGCGTGAAGACATGCAGCATAACAAGGCGCGCAGTAGCTGGGCAGATGTGTGTGTGTGTGTCTGAAATCATTCTACACAAAGTCGCCATGCTGCCAATCGCCCTTAAAACTGCTGCTAGAAACCATACCCATCTTGCATGGTCGAGACAACAATAACAAGCATGCACTGCGCAAAAGCTTCAGGTAGGGCACGAGCGGGGCAGCTCAAGGGGACTTATCCAATCACGCAACCACCTTCTGGACTCCTGCTTATTGCATCTGCATCAATCATTTCAATGGTGCGAACGTGGGCGACGAGGGGGGGGGGGCTCTGCCCACCATGGCTATGGCTGAACGACGTGATAAGGATCCACAAAAGGCCTTGGCCTGGTGGCGTACGTGAATAGGCAAACAACAACAGCTACAAACTGCGCGGAGCTCGCTTTCGTGACAGTAGCACCCACTCGGTGCCGACATTTGCTGCTTGCAACTAGGTAGGTAGCAGGGGATCGAGTGCAATGACGGACTTCCTAGCTAGCATCACGGATGTTGTGTCTGTGTTGCCATCATGTATCATCGCCGATCGCCCCACACTTTCACACATCCATGTGGGCACAACCGAATCCGGGCTTTGGCGGCGGATCGGCGAAGCGGGGGCCACCAGCCAAAACCGGGAGACACTACGCTCTGAAGAATCAGCAGCAAATGCACACACGACAGAGGGCACAAAACGGAAAGGATCGAACGCATACTTGCGGTTCAGCTGCAACACCGTGCGCTGCGAGTGCAAAGTGCCGCAAATGCTGAAAGTGCGGGCATAAAACCATTGCCTTTGTCAGCCGCCATGGTCAAAGCTGTCAAGCCGATGTCCTGCAAGATAGGCAGCATGACTTCTGCATTCTGACAGGAATAAGTTGCAAGACGGAAATGACCCTCCCCCCAACCCCCCAATGCACAACTGCATGTCCGTTGAAGCGTTGATTTCGGCAGCTCGCTGGACCAGCAGCTCAATCATCTCGACGCGTCCTGAAAACGGTAGCTCGTGCGGTACGGCTATATGACATCCACAGCTTCGATGTGAAGATATGTGAAGTAAACGCGAGGCGGCTATGTGTAAGCTCGCGAATTCTGCTCTCCTGAAGCAGAGGCCAGCATCAGTGCAGAAAGGCCGTATCCAGTGGCGCCGTTGGCAGAAGCACCTACATATGTCAAGGACAAGCACGCATTTCAGTAGCAACACTGGACACCTCGAAGAGCGGACCTTCATCCAGCAGCAGGCGCGCAACGTCCAACCGCTCTGCAGCTTTGGAGCTGTCCTTGATGCGTCCATAGGTGGACAACGACAGGCATGAGCACTTTGGACATATCCACCTGCATGCCAGCCCCGACAGCATACATCACCTTAACGGCACTGATCGCACAGAGCTGCGAGCGAGGAAGAGGGCCGCTCTTGTCAGAGAACGTCTGAGGCACCTGCGCATGTGTGGCCAGCGCAATTGGAGCTGTTCACATCAGCGGCATGCTCCAACAGCAGTCTCAGAACCTGTCACGATGAAGATCCTCACAGCACAGGCTGAAAGCAAAAGCCGTGCGGCCCTGCCTGAAGGCTGGCTGCAGAGGCGGCGAAGAGAATGGCAGAGCGCCCCGTGGCATCCTGTGCCATGAGGTCTGCGGCAGCTGCCAGAAGGCTGCTGGCTAAGGCCAGATCGCCTCCTTTCAGGCCACGTTTTGTCTGTGTTTGTCTGTGTTTGACAACCCGGGATCCTGGGGTCCCAACGCTCACAAGCGGCCATGAGTGCTGTGCGGCTGGCAGGGGCAACAGCCTCAGCAAGAGCGAAGAAAGCACAAAAGCAAAACGAGCTTCCACTTCTAAGCCGCCTGCAGCTAAACAGAAGGTCCTGCGCGAGCTGGGACCGAGGGAACTTACAGACAGACAGATGGCAGTCACTGTCCTTGTCCTAGTCTCGATGATGATCTCGTAGGCAGCTTGAATCTCCTCTGAGGCTCATGAAACTCTGGCTCAGATTCGCGAGTCTACTCAAAGAGCTTCTCAGTTCTCAGTTCTCCTGGAAGCGCACGGTTGCCAAGCGCCTTCTCGTCTCATCCTGTACCTGCAGCAGTGGCGGAGCCTTTGAACATTGCAGTCCGGATCCATGCCAAGACACCTTGTCAGGATGGTTCCTCAGGAAGCGAATTCCGAATAGTAGGGGGGGGCACTTCTCACCCTTTTTATAAGTCATGGCCCAGTGCCCCCGTTCCTTCCATGTGCAGCTGGGCATCTTGAGCGCCAGAGCTCTGTATGCTTGCTTGATCTCCTCGTCGCTGCAGGAGCGGCGCAGTCCCAAAGTTTCCTTGACTTTGCGTATCTCGCAGAGAACTTCGAAGATCAGAGTCACGATACTGTAAGCCGTGGGACAAGTTACATAGGCATCTGCCAGCGGCATGACGAGCTTGACCACCAGTATGGCACGGCTCCCGTGCCCTCCGCCGAATCCATGCGGCGTTCCATTCAGACTGCATGGCTTGCAGTCCCTTTTGCTTTCCGGGGTGCTTTAGGTTCGGTGTCGGCTCACGGCGTATCGGCTTAGGGAATGAGTGTCTGAAAGCCTTGTCCTTCTGAGTCCCTCTGCATGCAAGGATTATACGGAAGGGGCTATGAGGGTGGATAGGATACATACACAGCAAGCCTGCCTCGAGCCGTCATGCATGGCCCATATTCCCATGCGACATTGGACGCCCGCACTGCTGAGACAACCTACCGCCGACCGGAACATGCACGGTGTTTCCCGGATTCGTTCTCCGGCGAGGAAGTGCATCAGAGGCTTTGGTACAACTGAGACGTTTTCTCTGCAATGCAAAAGTCCCATTCACGTCCTGCTTGAAGGGAGCAGAATGGGCTGCAAAATTTCTGCAATTACATCAAAAAATCAAAACTTTCTAAAGAACGCTGTACATCGCCTCGTGCTGTTTACAAAGCACCAACTCGCTGCAGAATAATGTCCGCAGATCCAAGCACGCTGTACAAAGCGGAAACAACTACCAAAGCACGCAGTCCCAGTCGTTGCCACATGCGCATCTCATGCCCGCAAATCTGAAACATAGCGGCGCAAGGGAGAAGGAGGCACACGGCATTTGCAGGCAGGATTCCCATCAGATCCCCAATGAAAGCAACACCAT